CAATTTTTCACACGCTTATGACACAAATTTTAAATGTTTGCATTCCAATTATAAATTTGCCTTTCATTGCAATTTAAAAGGCTTTATTTAAAAATTTGGGAGAAAAAAACAAATCCCTTACCCGGAATCCCTCTTGCATGAAAAAATCATAGTTTAAGGATCTCCTAAATTTATAAATCGATTAATATTTTTGAATTGATTAAAAAACATGTCGATTATTTCGTTTAGAACGGTGTTTTTATTTATAACCTGTTTCTTCGTGTTACTTATTGTGTTTTTGTTGCTAAAATATCCCAGGCATTATTATTTGGTTTAACTGATTTATATCCTAAATACTTCCAGCAGTTTTAACCGGCGTATATAGGGCTGCCAACCGAGTGGTTCAAGTCAAAGGAGTTAGACCCGGCGTCTACGGATTTGAATAGTGCTTTTCTTGGTACAAGTTAACATTGCAGATCTTCGGGTGATTAGTTTCGTCCCAAGAACAAGAGTGTAAGAAACTCAAAACACTAGTTAGTGTTCAAATTGTCATATTATTTCATTTCGTTAAGTAAATAATTGTAGTGAAAGAAAAAACATAAAGCGCTTTTGGTCACTGCCACTTTTGAAAGACGGCAGCTCTAGTGAAATAAATTGCTGGCAACTGACTATCCACGCGGCCGGTATACATGCTCTAAGGCCGTCGATCTGTTGCTCACTTACGACGAACGGATGAACGAAATGAACGACTATACATTTTTACGTAAACTATACTACTGAACTTTATTAACATCCCAAAGGTACAAGGCTACTGGTACCTCAGGTACAAGAGTGATTGGTTCATAGTTCACCATGCGGTGTAACTTGGAGTATTCATACATCGCTGTTAAGATTTCATATCTAGTCATTATCGTCATCGTCCCATTATTTATTTGTCACTGTTTTCCATGGTTCTTATCCAGGAGATCATTTAGGTAGCAGTTCGCCACGCTAGCCCAATGCTGGTTGAGGTATTCAAACTTTTTCCATTTGCTGTGAGCCTCCTTCGAAATGCAGGTTTCATGGACGTTTGATGTGGTGATGCTACTAAACATACACAAGCGTGTGTCGTCCTCTCAATTGTTCCCACAAAATGTTTGTAACAGTGTGAATCATAATCGCGATCAGACCGACTTCGAAGATTCAACCGTCATTCCAATAATCTTCCGAATTGTACCACTTTGCAATAATTTATTTTTCATGTCCTTTTAGGGTTGCTGCGTTATACTTGGTTTTCTTTTAGCAGTATTTTAGTTAAATGGCTCCGGCTGTCATAATAAATCACCTTGTAAAGGCGGCGGTTACACGCCTATTGTCTAAAGGTTTTTACTATCTTTTATGCATGTTTAATATCTTGTTTTAAGACTTAAATACCGTCTCATTCTTTTTGCTTTTGTTTACTTAAATGTTCATTATTTTATAAACGTTTGAGCTTGGCACTGAAGTACCTTAGTTCTTAATAGGTTGTATGTCTTTCTTTTTTTCTCATTATTTAAAAGTTAGGCTTTTGTAGGTGGAGTAATCGCTTCTCATCTCTATTCAGCCTCCTAACTATTACTTCCCGATACGACATTAACTATTTCTCTTATCTGATTTAAATAACTTCCTCTACGTCTTCCCTTGTCTCTCTTTTATACTATCTTGTCTTCTATAACACTTCTAAATACCTATCGTGACGTATTAGCTGCCGAAACCTTTTTCTCATTTAGTTGTCTATTTTCTTTAATTGATTTCTCTCTTTCTTATTTCTTTATATTAGTCTCTTAAAAAGTAGCGGCAGTCTTTAGAGCTCGTATCTACCAGTCCAATATAAACCCTTACTTATTATGTTTGTTGATTTAGGGTAACCAAGAAATTTGAGATTACAAAATTCAAATCGTCGGCGTGTATTAAAGAATGCGTGTTGATGCAACAGTCAAATTCAACTAGCTATTTCTATAATATACAGTTATTCTAGTTTAACTGCCTGCGTGGCTAAATACTATGCAGGATTGCCACGCAGAAGTCCCAGGTCCGATTCTCGGGCCGATAAATATTTGTATGGCCTACATTTATTTCTCTCGTGAGTTTGGGTGTAATTTGTGGTTGTCTATATGTGTGTCCATGGCACCCGCGACACAGGGTTTCCCTAGTGCGGGGCTATGTTGAGTGTATGCGTTATTATTATTCTCATATTACTTATGTAAGATATAGTATAATATATATAAACTAAGATTATGCACATGTAGAATCAATGCTTTATTCCTATAAACCTACCTATAATTCTGAGAAACCCTAAAGACTCTCCTGAGTCTTTAGGGTTTCTCAGAATTTATTGGTATTAACTTGTAATTGAATACAGTCGTACAATATTGATGTCCGCATCTATTATATTAATTTTGTAATTTGAATCAAATTGAAAGTGGAGTCTATTAGGTCGAACGAGACATTACTTGAAATATTTTTCTTTAATTTCATGTTGCATAGTTGTTTATGAATTTAATTACACAAATTATAATTATATCTATATAATATACGGTAACACCATGGACGGCAAGACGTGCTTGTTGAGATGTCCTATCAGATATAAAGTGCCCTGCTAAGCTTACGTTGACGTGAAATCATTGTTGGAATTTCAGATACAAATGATCTTTAACATAATAAACAATACTTCCGAGTTCGCGAGCTATCTTAACGTAGGAAACGATTTCATCATTCCGTCCTGACTGTGTTCGTCCGAGAGCATCCCTAATATTTATACAACAAAGCGTACCGTGCAATGTACACAAAGTGCTTGTTTCTCGTTCGTTTTTGCCAAAAATACTGGATAGTTTTCCACCCTCTGGTCGGTATTTGATTTCTCGTGGCAACCCTTTGTGTGTCGGATAAAATGTAGTGCACGGCACTCTGGGCCTCCTATACGATATGTCCGCATTTCCTCGTTTCAACTTCGTTGCGTTAAGAACCTTTACCTTTGACATTACTCGTCCAACATTTCGTGCTCCTCTCATTGCCTGGAAAACACCAAAGCCAGTTGTCTAGAAAAATCTATTTAGGCTTCATCGCACTGCATGTAGGTAACTTAAGCGAACATTCTTTGGGTTCATGCAATAACGATTATAATTCAGAAAGCAAGAGAAATTAATAGAAGCACAAAACAAAGTTATATTAATTTCATTTCTAAAATTTACCAACAAGGTTTTCAGGGGCTTAGGGAAGCTTTAATAAATACGAATAGGTTAATAGGTATTTTCCGTGTTTATATTACCGAGAAAATCCTTTTATTATCATCTTTACAAAGAGCAGGGACTCCCGCAGCTGTAGTGCCTTGTTTTCATTTTAATGCGTTGACGTTTTTAGGGTTTTGTCTCTTAATGCTTGTTGGCTGCTCTCAAATTATTATCAGTGCGTTCATTTGAAAATAAAATTCAATTCTGAGAGTCGCATAGACCACACTGTCCTAATGGAAATGTAGGTGTAATATTTTTAAAAAGTTGCAAAAGACTGTCTCCATATTGTCAAATGCCGAATATAAATTAAAAGCGATGTAATGTTTGGAAGAGTTTTAAATAATTGAAGACAGTAAAATGCACTTTTATATTTACGACAGACAGTGAAAGGTAGGTCGAATCAACAAAAGGCTGTGAGAAGTTCCTGTCGCTTGCGTGCAAGGTGGGCCAGAATCTCGGCTCACAGGAAGGAATCCCATTAGAGCAACAACTTCTTGCGTGAGCAATCTTCTTTTACGACTCCCGCCATATCCATGTTTATTGCCCCATACTGTTTAGGTATTCGTTTGTTGGAAATTAGCCGCTATTACACTAAATAGCTGGTTTTGAACGGTTGTAAAATCGGAGAACTTAACAATAACCTAAAACGTATGTGATAAGCTTGTCTGTAAATCGTTTCGAAACTTTGGCTTACAGGGATTTAATTTTGTGAATGTTAAAGAATATTCAATTACAAACGCAACATTATAAACTTTTCCATTTCATAGTACAGCACATGTTGTCTCGATTATAAAAAAGGGCGATGAAATGATTTTCCAAAAAAATGGACCCGATCGATGCCACAGACGATCCCAGTTAGCATATTTGAGTAGGTCGACATACGGGTAATTTATTTATACCTATTAGGCATTGTTTCTTGTGTATTGTTGACTAGTAAACAGTAAGGTAGTCTCACGGTACGATCTGATACGAAATATGTATCTGAGTAAACCTAAACCTGAAATCTTTTATTTTATTCATAGCACTACGACAATAGAAGCTATTTAACATAATTTTTCAAAACAATTTAGAATAGGCCATTGTAGTAGATAAGAGGGGTAAAAGTTGGTAAAGTTTTGCTCGGCTAGCTGGTGCTCTCTTTGGAAGTTCAGGAAATAAACAAGGATATCCGTAAATTACAGTTTATTGTGAAGTACTAAAACTTGGCACTTCCTACCAAACACATTTTTAACAAACCTGACGGAGCACTGTCACACCCGTTCTGTTTTTGTTTTGTAATCCGTTACGAGCGGTGTATATTGACTAATAAAAGTCGCTCCAGGTGGTCTTACATCAACGCCCGAACAATCGCCAAAGGTTCGGGCTACCGTCGAGTGAGGATCATAATAACTTAAATCACTTTAATATAATATTATATTATATTATATTATATAAGGTGTTTCAGGTATTATAAAACCTACTTATGATTTAAGCATTAAGTTTGTTACATTCTTAGAGCAACGATTTAGAAATCGTATATTTTGGGTTAGTGCCATTTAGCGGCAAACTTCGAAACTAATGTAACTAGCGCTGTTAGAATGTTTATAACAAATTTATTGTGTTACGCTACTTCGTAATTGTGCCAGTCCCACAATATTTATAAAGCGCTGGCATAGTTTTCCAAACGCTGGAAATAATAGCCAGATTTTGGACCATTTTTCACGACACATAACATCTATACCAATTGAAATTGCTCAGCTTTTGTTTAACCCCAATGTTTTGTTACAGGTATGCCCCGCACAATGTAGCGGCCGCGCCGCATCATAGATGCACGACGTAAATAACTTTTATCGCCCAATCGAGAGACCTCGTAAAAAGTGTCTCCCGTAACTGTCGCATTATTTTAGAAGAGGAGACTTTTGTATTCTGTTGCAATAAACTTGTGCCGTAGTTTCGTATCATCGCGCGCTATCGGGACGTTTCAAGCTGTTAAAACTTTTCCGTGAGAGCAAATCACAGTTTCTGCAGCGTGTATAAATTTTATCACTCATATTATCGTTCGCAATTTTATTGTATAAAGCGGTGTGATAAAAATATTCGTAGGGACGCGCGCTAACGTAACAGTGACGTTCAAGTCTGTGCCGGGACACGTAGAAGTATATTGATGGTGTGTACTTCCGTGCTAAACGCGTAATTTTGTACTGTGTAGTATAAAACGTTGTGATGTGGCGAGCCGGCGTGGAAGGCGCCAGGGTAAAAGGCTATGAGGATGGGCCGTAAAAGTGAGTTATTATCGGGCAAGATGCTCCTGACGTTTTACGTCGCGCTTCTGCTGTGGAGGTTCGACTGTGTCGTCGAAAGCACCAAAGGTAATTTGCATTTACATTTTTATCACTTTCCTTGTTTGCTTTACTCGTAGATTGCCTACTTGTGTGCTTATCACTATCGTGGAAGTATACGGTTCTGATTAACATCATTAACCCGCTAAACATTCTACTATTGGACACGTGTCTCCTCTAGGGAGAGGGTTTTGCGCTGCATTGGCTTGCAGGTAAAGGACGTTCACACGTTTTCCAAAGTCTTTGAGCTGTCTTCGAGATGCATCCTTGCGCTTTTTTCTTTCACCGTTAGTGGGATATAGATACTAAGTCACAAATGTACGTAACTTAGAATTTAAGTCGTAAGTACGAACCGCCGACCTCCGACCTCCGACCAAGCGATGCCCTGAGCGACCACCGTTTTTTGTTCAGCGGTTCTATAATGGACTTATTCGTCACCAAGCACAGTGAGGTATCCTCACAGTAGTGATGAAAGACACTCAATCTTTTAAGGCCTTTTAAAAAACCTCAACTCATTTTTAACGCCACACGACTAGTCTAGTCTTTTAACCCTCAAGTCTTGAGTCATACGACTAAAACTGAAGACTAATTCAAGTCGAAGCATTTTAACCCTAAGAAGCTTAAAAGACTTGTAGGACTAAAACAACTGGCGCCTTCTGGCCTTCGGGTCTTCGCGTCGGGAGTCGCGAGTATGGCGTGGTTTTATTTCTACCCACAAGATATTTATTTTACGATTGATGGATAACGTTAACGTAGCTTTGTCCACAGAAGTCAGTTAATTATAACTAATTAAGAAAAGGTGATTATTTACTACATACTATTTCATTTTTATTTATAACCTTCGGGCTTAATAAGACATAAAATAGGTATAAGTCCATTGCAAACAACTCGAGTCGTTTAAGTCGTTCCAGGCGTTTAAGTCGTATAAGTCGTTTCAAGTGTTTTAGTGTATCGATTGAGTCTTATTAATAAAAACTCGAACTTCCAGTCTTAATTCTATAGTCAAGTCCTGTAAGTCTTTATAAAACGCCTTAAAAGACTGAGTCTCTTTCATCACTACATCACAGCATTGTATTTAATAAAAGTTTAGCCGGTAAGTTGGCATCGTTTCGGCTTACCTGTGGAATGTGCAGGAAGAAGTCGTCCATTCAAAAGATGGGCGAAAAGGACAGTCCTAGTTATCTGGTCACGTAGGTCAGGTAGTCCGACCGTCCGGCCATGAAAACTGAAATGGAAAACCTTTTGTTGTTACAATGTCGTCCCTGCCCTTTTCCAATTACTTACATCCGACGTGCATGCTTATTCTGAGCCGCCGGATATAACCAACCTGATTCAATATTGTCTGACGCCTCAAATATAATTACAATAATTTATTATTATTATTAGTCACGAAAATAACTTAATTGACATTTTAATCTCCAAATAATTAATGAGTACAATAATCCTGCTTGACGCTGCTAGAAAAGATAAAATTGTTGTAAATAAATAAAGAATAAATATTTAGGGATCACTCGCAAAATTGTTTCTATAAGAACATAGATTCCGATACAATACAAATACTCTAGAGTGCATACAAATACAAAAACGAACAAAATACAAAAGACAGGGCTTAACTTGCAACCTTATTTCTAAATAGCAATCTCTTCCAGACAATTTCGGGGTAACAGGATAATCATAAAAAAATAATAAGAAGAGGGTGCAATAATTGCTCGTATGTATACGAACCCAATGCCTAATATTCAACTTTTAAATAATTACTAAATATATAAATATTTGACGGATACGTGCACTCTATTACCGAAATTGGATTTTTGTCTGGTGGAGACCACATCTTGCCAATCACTCTCAGTCATATGCTAGGGTGGAAGGGGTGATGGCTGTGCAACGCTGTTGTGTTATGTCCTACATTTATATTTCTTTGTCAGTTGTTAAGATAACTAGCAGAGTGTTGCTGGTAAGATTTTAAACTTTTATAAGAGCCGTACCGCACAGTTTCAGCGCAGAAGCGAAAGATAAAATAAGATTTTTTTTTTTATAACACTTACTTAGAATGGTACTATGACGAAATAATTTATCAATCAAAATTCACATTGGACGTATTCGCAAAGTGCAAAACGACATTATCTGTCCGATCAAAACGTATTAATTGACCTACAACTCGGATTATCTCGTTTACGATCGATATTTATAATCAAAATGGATATTTTCCAATCACGTAGACCAGCGTGATAGTAAATATCGCTTAAGAATTTCTTCTTGATTGAAACCCATGTCCTACAATGGGTTCTTAGGGTTTCGTGATTATTACATATAGGAAATCAAACTATTTTTTCGGATCTAAATCGCGTATACCTATTTGTTTCTTCAAACATATAGGTACCAATTACCTATTTGTTTCGCGTATACTTATTTGTTTATTTTGTTTCGGGCCATTTATGGTCACAACTGACAGTCAGCAGTGACCATTGAAAAAACAAATAGTTTCGCTTTCTAAACGTGTAGTAATTTATAGGCAGGAATTCACGACCAAGAGCGTATGAGAGAACGGAAGAAGTATTTGTTAGACGGACTTTCGTAAATAATTCGGCTTAATGTTAAACAGCGTTCGGAACCAACGGAAATTCACGAATTTTTTTTTTATAACATCAAGTGACGGGAAAAAAAGCCGTGGGCCTCCACTGCTACGCAAGGAATGTACGACTGTAGAACCATTTTAATTGCTGATAATCTTAACATTTTTCTTCTTATATTATTGTTAATATAATTCTGATACAAAAGCCAATGACAGGCGAAAACAGAATTCTGTAACTAAGCACTAGAGACTAAGTAGATTTATGAGCTACGTGAGGAATGTAATAAAATTAATCTTGCTGGACGTTACCTTGATTGACCTGTAAGTCCACAAGAGTCTTATTATAAATAAATAAACAAATAAATAAAAGTAAAAAAAAGTATATAGTGCACTTCAAAAAGGCAACAAAGTCACCTTCGGTGAGCTAACCACTGGTCGAGACAAACTTAATGAGACCGAACACAATAGTTCTACTGCAAGTAGTTGAGGAGTTGGGTAATCTGCCAACAGTTGTGATCGGATCAAAGTTAGGATGTAGTCGGATTTCCTTAGTACACCAAACAAGTCAAGGGGATAAGTGGAAGTAAAATAAATATTCATTGTGTGACTGAAATCCCTGCACTAACTGAGAAAACAGCTGGTGATCTTTACTATTGGTAATCATAGCTTGGAACCGTTACAATTCAATTAGCCTTCAAATGACAAAACCGCTTTGAGATCAGGCCATCTGTTTGGATGCTACGGTGCCGCAGATAGACATCCAGACTTCACATTTATAGTTTCTCTCTTGCACCGGTTGGTAAAAAAATCAGGTTTTGTCCTTGTGATTTGCAAGGAACCAAAAAAAAAATTCAATATCAAGAAAGACGTTGCTATTGAAATTGTTGTGAGTGCTGCAAACACGAGAAACATGTAAAAAACAACGCATAAAAACACATTGTTTTTAATTAACCGACTCCAAAAAAATAGGAGGTTCTCAATTCGACTGAATGTTTTTTTTTCTATGTATGTTACGCGATAACTTCGGTATTTGTGAACCGATTTTCAAATCCTTTTTTTCTTGGAAAGAGGGTACCTCCATAGTGGTCCCATTTAATTCCAAAGAAAAATAATACTCCTCTAAGGGCTGTTCACACCTGAAGATACATTTTTATGCTTAGAGCCTAAATTTTATGACAAGGAGCAATTATTTTAATGGTTGATTTTGATATTCTGCAATTCAAGGCGTTTTCCTCTCAATACACTTTGAGTAGTGAGAACCGATTTTTATTATGTCCCGTGTCAAGTCCCGTATAGTGGCGAACTAGGGGATGAATCCGGGTTTGCGCACTTTCCGGTAACCGATTTCAATGAAATTTGGTAATTCTACGTCCTATTGAGGTCGGTTTTGTAGTACTCTGTACTGAGATTATTTCGTATCGTTTCAGGAAGCATGATGTGTTTTAACTTAGGAAATATTTCTATATTATGGAAAAGCGGAATAAAATTTTACACAACATTTTTAAGAGTTATGTTTTTACGCGTCACGTGCTTTTCTAAAGTAGAACGATTTTTTATTTATCCAGCAATATACCGAAGGAGGTTTTGACGATTTACGCGCCGTACACTACGATATTTCGATGTGTTACATAAAACAGACTAGGTAACCTGAGTTCAATGCCTCCAGGGAAAAACGAAGATATGTTACTTGCCTGTAAACCTTGCTCTGTATTTTTATATTCGTTTTGTCAGAGATTTATTTCGAGAAGAAAATTGCTTTGTTAAAATAAAACTAACAATAACTTCTACCTACATTTACAGCGTACGCGGTAAAACACCAGAGTATGCTAATAAATTTATGTTCTTTCACCGTTTCGAATAACGGAAAAATAAATACTGAACGCAATAAGAAAAACGTGAGATGTAATATTTCATCACAAGGCTTATTAGCCTTAGGATCACGGAATAAAATTGCACAGGACGCTCGATGGACACCGTCGCACAGTGGGCCCAAATTGATAATCGTCCTTAGCCCTCGACCGCCTTAATTTTATGTCTCTGTTACATATACACTCGCTCCATCCAACACGAGGCTGTACAACAGTAGAATACGCTGTGTGTTGTTTTAGATTTAGCTGATAAATTAACGAATAGTTGGAGTAATGATGCTGTTTATGAGATATTGATTATAGTTAGTATTAGAAGAAGCGACGTGAAGCACTGGAATATGGGATGGTGGATTGGATTGTTATATTTTTAAATTCACAGTGAAACTATTCACTGTGAATTTAAAAATAATATTTCACTTCAAAGAAGCAATATATACAGAGTGGATGATAACTAGAATAGGTCTATAGTTTTATTACTTTACTATTAGAAAAAATATGGTGTACAAAATACAATACAGTACAAATACTCTGTATTGCACAGAAAGACTCTTCCAGGAATCTATCGGGCTACAGAAAAAAATTTTAAGATA